GCATGCAGCTACTCAAGTTAAAACTAAAACATCTTTTACCTGTTCATGTCCCTTCTTAATATTTCTCAATCCAGATACACAACTTAAAAAGCAGAAGACTTTAAATTTTTTGATGATGTATTAGGAATATAAATTAGATCACAGAAGAATCCCACAGGTAGCAGTTAAAAAAAGGTGACCATAAGAAGGCTGACCTCAGCACCTACACTGGCTCACTGTATGCTGTGAAACCCTAGTATCATCTTCCTTTAACACACTTCAACTTAAATGAACCTAGATACTTTAAAACAGCTAACAAACAGTGATTATCATTGATAATTTACATTCTAAAATTCTCATGCCAATTTTCTGTGTACTTGACTCTGTTTTCCTCATACTCTTAAGGACTACCACAATGATTTTAAACGAAGTATTTCCTCATTGATTTACAGTTCTTCCTACACAGAATTTTAAAAATGTCTTTATATGGCAGCAAAGCTGAATTTGTAAGATACCAGCAATCTCAGGACACCAACTGATGACATCAGTGAGTGATTAACTAAAAGTTAAGCTGTGAAAAACGTGACACTTCTTGGTACATTAGACAGTTATTTTCTAAAGTAACCTTACTATATTACTGAGTCTGTGCTTCTGAAGAAGTTGTTGTCAGAGACAAAAAATAGAAACTCAAGTTATGTTTTCTGGTGTTAATCTTCTTTCCTCCCCTACAAAAACTACCAAAGACATCTAACACATCAACAATTCGCCAACAGAAATTTTCTCATGCAGAAACTAACCATATGAATCCATGACAGGTTTGAGGTCCTTGTACTGACTAATAACACTGGTTGTCTCCTGTATGGTTAGGTCTCTATACTTGTACTGGAAAACAAAAGAGAAAAAAATTACTTCAGAAGTTAATTTTTAGTATAATTTAATTCAATTTTTTATTTTACCCAACAGACAGCATTTATGAGAGTTTACATCTATACATGGACATTCTTCTCCACTCTTAGTTTGGAATAATAACTTATTTGTCCATATTACTTAAATGACCACTGCCTATATAACTCATTGAACTTTAACAAGATGTTAAGTCTTAACAAGGATGTAAGCATCAACTGATTTGGGAAAGAGCTATTGCATTTTCTTTCATGTTCTACCACAACCAAGTGTATCTGAGAAATATGAATGCATCTTAAAAAACCAAAAAAGTCATCTCCAAATGAATACAGTAATGCTTTGAATAGCTATGTAGGATATGAACTACATACATCTATTTCATAGCACTTTTCAAAGCAACACCATATTTATCAATCACTGATTAGCATTTACATGTATTTTGTCAGCTAGAAAGCAGACATATCAAGGCACAATATTACCAGCAATAATACTGGTTTTACCCCTGTCTTTTTATCAGGAGCAGGGAGTAACAGCACAGATACCCTACAGAATATACAGATACCCCACTACAGAATTCACCAGCCTCAGAGCCATAACCCACAGACAGCAAAGAAGCTCCTGGGCAACAGAGAATTGGTTCACCACACAGTGCAGCCCTTTAGCCTTGTTGTCATTTCTCTTAATAATTATGATTTAAAAGACAGCAATGTGGTCCCTTGACATTTTTTCATTCTAATACAATTTTAAAAAACTGCAATCTTCAGATGTTATAAGGAACACAGCCAGCAACCTTCCATTGAACCGTGGTGGGAAGACAAAGGGCCCAGCACAATGAAATGTCCGACATCCAAAGCACGCAAATGTTAACAACATCTGAACAAATTCATTCAGACATCATCCAAGAGCAAACTGTGGTGCCACAGCTGCAGGTCACCTTGGCCCTGACAAACACTCATGAGTTGTGAAGCTTAGACAGTAACTCTTCTTCCTGTCACCTCCAGAGACTGACAAGGATGCTCCTCTGGGGCATGACAACTTGGATTTACTGAGCAGAGATGAACCCACGATGCCACCTCAGCCCAGAGGAAGCACCAGCACCTCCAGTGATGCTGTGACTGCTCTCCCTCAAAGGACCAAGGACAAAACAGCCACATGGTCTGTCTGCAAAGTGCTGCTGTGTGGGACAGAAAGCAACCCCTCCAGCAGGGATTCCTGTGTGCACAGGGAAGCACCAGCACAGAGGTCAATCAGCCCCTGGATGCTGTTTTGGTGGGAGGGCTGCAGCAAAGCATCTCAGCCTCCTTTGTAAAATTGGTGCAGGACTGGGCTGTGCAGCAGGGTTTGACAGAGCAACAACTTGGTTAATATTTGAATACATTCCTCCCTCCCTGCCCAGCACCTGGCAGAAGCAGGAACAGGCACTGCCTGGACATGGAGGAACTTTCATGTACACCAGCCAGAGACTGGCAGCACATACCCAGCCCACTGCAGGTGTCACTACAGGGCAAATGACAGCTGGTCACCAGCTACTTTCAAAAGGCAGGGTCTTCTCATAGGAACAAACCTTATGGTCCAGGATAGAGCCTCAACAAGACTGGCACAATCACTATTAAAAAGAGAGCAGGATTCTGCTAACAGAAGCTCCAAAAAAGCACAAGGATCATAGAATGGTTTGGGTTGGAAGCAATCTTGAAGATGACCTTGTTACCAGCCCCAAGACAGGGAACCTCCCACCACCCCAAGCTGCTCAGAGCCCCTTCCAGCCTGGCCTTGGACACTGCCAGGGATGGGGCATCCACAGCTTCTCCAGGCAACCTGTGACAGTGCCTCACCACCCTCACAGTACAGAAGCAGGCAGTCAGGCTCTACTTCCACATTTGGCACAAGAATCTCAAGTCAGTTGAGTCAAGAACTGATAAAACAATGCCTGCCTGCTCAGCAGGCACTCTGTGAATCTGGTACACCATGGGGCTGATGAACCACAAGTTTGGTTACTGGGGGTGTTTTCGAAAATTAGGGACAACACCTGAACATTAAGCAAGCATTTTCATACCCCTATTAAAACAAAGAAAGATAATATTCTTACAAATTGTTTTTACACTGAGTGATGATTACTTAGTAGAGAGACAGTTGTATGATTCCAGCTACTGCCACAAGCAAAATTAAATGTTAATTTCAGCTGTTAATTTCTGTACTTAGATTGATTTCCAATAAATGTCAAAATCTCTTTGGAAAATATAAGATCCTAGTGATTCCTACAAAGGTAACTAAAACTGACTAATCTGAATTCTTAATGTCTAGACTCCTTTTTCCTCCTCCATTCTCAGATTGCAAATGCATTCTCCTCATTTTACATACTAGGAAACAGATCACAGAAAGATGAAGCTTTTCAAGATCTGACAGCAGGTAAACACCTGAAGTTAAATTATGTGCTCAGGTTCCCCCAAACTAGGATCAAGCTTTTGTTATCTCATACACTGAACTAACCAATATGTGAAATATCACTAAACTTCCCTCTCTAGAACAGAAAGTGTAACTGTTTTTTAAAAATAAACATAATGAAATAACATCTTCATTTTTCATCACCTACAGGAAGTCAGACAGGAGTATAAACTTAACAAGTGTGGGGGAACAAGAACACTGGACTACCTTAAACTCTATTTCTTCTATGGCATCACAGTAATTAATTTAGCAAAGACAGGTGCATACAAACACACACATGATCTCATTTGCTGACACTGACTGGGTAATCAACACTCATTTTCAAGCTGATAAAAAAATCTGCTTATGACTCCATGCAGGTGAATGTGCCTTTGGTTTTGATCGGATTCTCAACTATTGCACTTCATTTCAAAACGCAAGATGCATGATTAAATAGTGCCAAAAAAAATTCCAAAATCCCCCCAACAAAGCCGTAACTGCCGCCAAGTGCCATCCTTAGGGGTTTTCATTCCCAGCCGCTGGACAAAGGGCAGTTTTCAGCGAGGAGTGGCACGCGTGGCTCTGCATGATTCAGTGGTTAACGATCTGCCTTCCATGAGATTTTCCCGTTTCCTTACACAGGGGCGATAACCACACGCACCCCACGGTCAGTGATGCAGAGCTCGCCTCGCCCCTCCGGTGACCGGGGAGCTCAAGCGCCGTGTGCGCCCCGCGGGTGCCCGGCACGGTCCCAGCCCAGCCCCGCGGCCGGGCACGACCATTTTAGGCTCTGAGCGCCGTTCCTCCCTTCCCGACCCAGCTCCCCGGAGCCTGCGGGCGCTGGGCCCCGCTGCCGCCCGCGGGCCGAGCCCGGCCGGGCCGCGCCCGTACCTTGGTGAGCATCTTCTTGAGCTGGCTCTCGGACACGGCCATGGCGGCCGCCCCTCGCTGCCGGTGTCGGTGCCGCTGCTCCCGGTGCCGCCGGCCCGGCCCTACATAAACACAGGAAGCGGCCGCGCGCCCGCTTCCGGCGGCGGCGCCGCTGCCGCGCGTCACGGGGCGGGCACCGAGCGGGGCCGGGGCGGCGCCGAGCGCGCCTTTGGTGTTAGCAAAGAATGCGACACAAACGCGACATCGGATGAATGACAAAACACGCCTCTAAGAGCTGGCAGCATTTTAAGATTAAAATTATTACATAAACACCAAAGCAAATAAACAACAGCTTGAGTATTCGCATGAAAAGAAATGCTCAACAGATGAGAAACACCACCATGAAAAAGAATGTAAAACCTTAAATTCATAGCTTTCTTTTTAAGTACAGCTTTTAAAAAACATAGCAGCAAAGTTGGTTACCTGCAGCCATCACTAATTTTGCCCCGTCATTAACCGCTACAGTGAAAGACATTTGGGTATTCACAAAAATAACCTTCAGTAATTTAGATCTTTTTTTCTTTCTATGTTTAATCCAGTTCTGAGATCAGTATACAGTCAGAACTCCCTGCATGTATGGCTCTTTGTGAGATGGAACTGGAAGGCACAAAGGATCAGATCTTTTGCTCTGACACAGACACTACTTTTGCTCAGAACAAATTTCCAACAATATCTGTAAACTTTCCAACCAGCCACCCCTCCAAGTGTAAACGTGGAATGACGTTCCTAAGCTGCACACAGCAGGAGTGGAGGTGGTGGAGGTGCCTGCCATGTGAAGCTGAGGTACAATCAGGAGTAACACAGTCTTTTACCAGCAGTAAATCAAGAGGTTAGAACCCAAAAAAACTCTTGATCTCAAAACCATCCGTTTTTTATCTACAAATCCACATCCTGCTTTTTCATCACACCTTTGGTCTCCAGGGAAGAGGGTTACAGGTTCTGATGCCTTCTCCTGAGGCTGATGTAAAGCTCCCAGCCAGCTTTGGTTTGACATCTGAATGTGCAGATACTCCTGTGCAGTTTAACTGCTGGATTTTATCTTTTATTTTTATTTGAAGCCCAGCTCCTGCTCCTCCATTCAGGAAGAGCCCCTGTTCCAGTACTGCATGTGTGCAGTGAGAACTGCAGGTGCTTTAGTGCTCTGAATGTCCTCACAAAATAAAAGCAAGCAAGTCATGATTGGAGTATTTCAGACATGATCAAGTGTGACCAGAAATCCATAGCCAGTAGTTCAGGTTTAAAGGATACTGTGAACACCACGTTCCCCTTAGTAAATAGCAAAACACTGGAGGTCCTTTGACATAAGAACATGTACAGCCACAGAGGATGGAGCTATGGAACTGCATCCCCAGTGCTGTGGAGCTGGAGTGTGCCTGTACCCTACACAAGCCTCAGACACAGCATTTAAAAGCCATGAGGGAGGGTTCAAGTGGGCTGTGCACACCGGAGTTTCTGCAGAGCTGGGTTAGCCCCTCTCTTTTGCCTCATAAAGAGGTGCAAAAAGCTGAGAATAACCCAAGAATCAGGCTATAACTGGCAGCCAAAACCCACAGGCAAGTGCCACCTGAATTTAGGTAAAATATTCTTGTGTGCTACCTGCCTCATTTTGGCTACCAAAAGTGCACTTTACAAAGAAAAAATTGCCCTACAGTGTGGTATTAAATTATTTAAACCTAAACTGAGAAAGCACTTTTGGAAAGTAAAATAACAAAGCTTCCTGTTTTCTATAGAAATCCTTATACATGGAGCAACCTCTTCTGCCTTGCAGATCTCCAGCTTGAGTGAGCAGACACAGAGGCTTCCCTTGTGCTTCCTTACAGCTTCAGCTGCTGCTGAAGGTCATGAATTGAGCCTGCACTGCTTTGCAGTTTCTCCTGCACCAGTGGGTCTTCCTCCAGTCTGACCGTTTCAATCACTCCACTGGTTCCAAGAATACATGGGAGACTTAGGAACACTTCACTGTTTATATTGCAACACCCCTGAAACAACACACAAAGAACACTGTCACACACACAATTACTTATTTATGCTGCAACTACACAAAAGAGTAAAATAACACAAAATGACCTGATTATTTTAATTAAGCAAGGATATTCCAACATATGGCATGTTTGGCTAGATCAAATTCTATTTATTTTAGATACTGTGCAGTGGGTTACTGTATAGAAACTGTAAAATATTACCATGCAGATAAAAATTTGTGAACCATGTCACAATTGGGGAATTTTCCCAAGATAGATAGATGTCTATAATGCAGACAAAGTTTATACCACTAAACACCATTTCTTAGCTAGAACAAGCTGGGACACTTCATAGTACAGTATCAGTTCTTTTAGGACTGAACAAAATAAATTAAATAATGCAGCCTAAGAACTGGGGAAAATTTCTCAAATATTGATCCCATACAGATTCTGCAAGAGAATTTATAAAACTTATATGCCTATAATTCAAGTTGACACTGTGGATTGAGTTTATTTTTGTAATCTGGGACATTTTACATTCTATAGATACTTCAAGAGACTTGTGACTCCTCTGTATCTATATTTAGTTCAGGAATGATTAAAAACTTCACTTGAAACAATTATTTAATTAGGTATGTGCTTGTACTCAATTAAATAAGCAGCCAGCTCAACTTCCCTGCACAGGAACATGCAAATTGTCCTTCTGAAGGCTCTAAATTGAAGTGACAAATAAACATTTCTACATAGGTTTTCTAATCATATAGAATGTCCTAATGCTTTAGTGAAGCCTCTTAGGAGAAACTTCAAACAAAATTCAGTCTACAATTTTAAGTTAACTAATGTTTCATAATCTTCTCCTCTTAAGGAAAGTATTAAAGAGTAAAAAAGCAGATGTTTCAAACTTAATCAAATAAAAAGCTGGCAGAAAATGCATTTTATACTTTCAGAAATGATAAAAAATTCTTTTGGCTCCTAAAAAAGCCTACATTTAATTGTAAGCACTCTGGAACCACAACTCACTTTTCATTTGCCAAATCCAGCTATTCCAGGGTGCTGGGCAGCAGCTTTAAATGTATGTTCTCTTTGGACTTGTACTTTTAGGAGAATAATCCACTTTTACTATTGGTTTCAGGTTAAAACAGCAAGTGATTTTTGCTCATTTTCAGACTAGAGTTGAAAGCTGTTGTTGGAAGAAAGTAATGGCAGTAGCACTACTTCAGAACAATGAGATGTCTGTGCTGCTAAAATTAATGGTCACATCTGGGATAAATAATATAATTACAGTGCCAACCAAAAGGTATTAATAACACATTTACCTTTGCCAGAGTGGATACAGAATGAACCTTCCTTTTATCTTTCAGAATGCTGTCAACCAAATCAGCAACTGAGAGCCCAACAGACCATGATCTCTGACCTTTTCCCTTTAGGACTTCCATAGCTCTACACATAAACCAGGAAAAGGAGAAAAAAGTGATGTTGAGATTGTAATTTTTTCTATTTTGGTTTTTATGTAATACCCAAAATACAGATTTAAGTGTACCATGTCAGGTAAAGCGTACTATAAAAATATGATTCTCTGTTTTGGAAAACAACACAATGGGATATAGAATTGCTGAAAAGAATTTCTTTACAATATTTTTTCTCTACACTCATAACACTTCTCTTTTCTGTCAAGAGGTGTAACTGACAATTAAATCAGTTAAATTCATCCAAACTGGTGCTTGACTTTGAAGCAAATGCTTCCAACACAAGCTCTAAGGAAAGTGGGCCAGAAGGCTCATCTAGTATTTGTTTTAAATACACAGTCAAACAGCTCTGATATTCTGCTGTATATTGTGGTGTCTCCTTACATTGCCACAGGCACAATGTCAGTAAGCATTTCAGAAAAACAGTGGCTGTATACAGACCCATAGAAGTGAATGACAACTTGACCTACAATTTCCTACAAACTCAGTATATGAACATTTTAGAGCAAGGTTTCCCCACTTCATGAAGAGCTGAAGAACATGTAAACAAGTGCCAAATCAAGTGCCTAAACATGAAGGAAAAAAAGTTACAGTGGTGCTACCTGTTCGCCACCTTTTCCCTTGAGTTACGAGCAGCCATTGCTTCTGTTTGATTTGCAGCTACATTCCAGCTGCTCCATGATGGCACTAAAGAGAAACAACAACAACAACAACAACAAAAAAAGCATGTGAGGTTGTAGTTTGTTTCAAGTAGTATTTTTTTTTCTGTGACAAATGGCAAATAGTTTTGCCACTACTCCAGGTCTACAGATTTGGTACCCCACAAGTGCATTACTCAAAGCCATTATAATGAGAATTTACCACTCTTCTTAATACTTTTCTCATTATCTTCATTACTTTTCTCAATTATTCTTCCATTATTCAGTTACTTAGGCCCTGCCAGGATGTTACATGCTCATGGTGATAAAAAAGCATCACTTTACCTTTGTCTTCTCCCTGTTCACCAATAATCCAGGCATCTTTTGCCAGCACCTCTGCTTTCAAAAGGTTGGTTAGAATGTACCGAAATCTCTCTGAATCGAGGTTGGCACCAACTCCAATGACTCTGCTTTTGGGAAATGAGCTCAGCTTCCAGGACACAAATGTCATTACTTCAACTAAATGTCAAAGACAAAATCATGTTGTCAATGAAGGACCACTCAATATTCAACTCAACTGCAACTTTTGAATCATCATTATGAAAAACTCTGGACTTCTTTACTTTAGAAAAAGCATAAACATGTGGGAACATACTGGTGGTTTATTTCAACCTGAAACACAAAGTCAGGTGGGGAAGAAGTGAAAAAATAAGAACAATGGTAAGAGAGTAAGAAGAGCTGTCTTCAATGCATTACAGGATAGAGGCTCACACTTCTTTCCCTTTCCTAACTAGTGATTTTGCTTTGTCTTTGTTCACAGTACCACTGACCTGGAAATTTAAACCTTCCACCAAAATCTAGCTGCAATATTCACTATTAATGCTATACTTTGTATCTGAGTAGCCTGTAAATGTGATCATATGGTGATCATATGGCACATAACCCACATGGATCTATCCTTCCTGCAAGGAGAAATGTGCACATAAAACTCACAAGTGACAACAGCCAATGGATGCTAATGATGTAGACATAGGTTGGAACTATGCACAGAAACACACAGAAATACATACCTGTTACACAAAACAAAGTACATTATTTTCTTTTATCTTGGTAACAGTAAAGAAAAAACCCTCAAAGACAGTGTCCTGCTCAAAGCTGAAAAGGAAAACATCTTTCAGAGTAGCAAGAATTTGTGACTAACCAGGTGCATTCAGCAGTAACATATTTTTAAAAAAGGCCAGAGGAAAAGCCAGGTGAGGGGCAGAACCTTATGCAGAGGACCAGCATACCTGGATGAGAAGCAACAAGGAGAACAGCACTCTGACTGTAGTGGGACACTGCTGGAATGATTCCTCTGAACAAATCCACATTGCTTTGTATGACATCGAGGTAAGTCTGAGCATTACCCAGAGAATTCACTGTAAGCACCACAACTTTGGAATCAGCTGAAGCAGAAAAATCTGGAAATAGAAAGAAAATTTTGACATTTATGTCATTCTACTGAGTTTTGGATGCAAACCCAAGAGCTGTTCTAAAGGCTGAACTCCAGCATCCAGCTTAATTAGGGATTCTTTGCCTCCTGTCCCCCTGATATCCCCCAGTGTGGAATTTAGGGCACTTCCACAGCACCTATGAAACACAGCTCTCCCACAGAGCTGCTTTCCTGTTTTATAGGTGTCAAACACAAAAGGTAGACTACAATTTATCCAAGATTACAGAGCAGAGACCAGAAAACATCTAGACAGCTTTGACAGATAAGCTTTTCCAAGTTTTCTTGGCAAGAAAGAAAAAATATCCATGAGAAGTCTCCTTAATTTTTATTCCATCTGTTAAAGAAGGGGAAAAACTTTTACTCCTTTATCTGAGGCTTCTTCTATAATTTTTGATCTTATTCCTTAATCAAGGGTGTGTAGACACATGAAAGGCACTCCAAAAGTCTATTTATTAACTCAAATAAAAGACAAATTATTAGCTCAAAGAAACACACAACCACACTTGCTGCAGGAATTTATAAATCAAAGCTGCCTTGGCAGGTATTTTTGAATATCTGAGTGCCACACAGGTGATCAGCCTGGACACAGAAAAGGTGATTTGTCTGTTGCACCACTTTTGTAACCAGCTGAAGCCAAAGCAGAGGTCTAATGCACTGACAAATTAAAACCATACTAAGCAAGATATAATTAATACCAGCTTGCCCCAAAACTAGATATAAGCATATTAAAACAGGTGACAGTATACAAGCATTTTGTAGTATTGTAACACCACCAAGCTTCTTATACCACAGCTAAAGGCAAACATACAACAGGCAAGCACAGAGGCACAGACAGATTTGTGGAACAGTTGCACAACCAGGGTTCAGCACACCTTTTTGTGCTAGCAGCAAAACCTGCAAGATAAGATCAAAGAATGTACAGCAGGCAAATGCCAGATTTCTGCAGAATAAGCCACAAAGATGCCTGGTGGAACCAGAACTAGTCCCTGCCTCCAAAATAAGATACATTAAAAGAGAAGCACAAGGAAACCCCTCATTTCATCTTGCAAAGGGTACAAGGAAAATGGAAATATGACACATAAGCAAGGAAGAATGTTACTCAATCCAGCCCCAGCTTTCCCTCTGGGAAAACTTCTGAGCTGCATGGCCTCAACCTCTGCAACCATCAAAGGCTACAAGTAATCACTAATTAGAGAGACATGGCACTGACTCTGCTGATTTGTATGCTCACAGCTGACTGAGGACAAGGTTATTAAGAACTCATTGTGTGAGTGTGCAGTGATAGAGATCAAGAACTCACTATTGGCCATGTGCATGTTTAATGAACACCAAGCTAGGAAAGCAGCACTTTGAAACACACCTTTATTTATCAGCCTGCTTTCACAGCCTTCACTAATTCCCATGCAAATATTTTTTCCCCTTTTCCCTCTCTCCCTCTGCCCATGACACAGAAATTCCAGCTTGGCTTCTGTGTATTTCTGCATGAGTCCAATTTCAGCATCAGCCTCTCACCTGCAAGTACAGACTTAAATAAAGACAGCCCATGTGCCACTGTATCTCCCCAGGTGTCCTGCTCTTGTTACAATGAGCACAAGCACACACAGCACAGCACCCACTCCTGCTCCAGACACAACATCTCATACCTTTGCTGATCTCCACATTTGGCACAGCAAAAATCTCCAAATCCATGGTGCCTCCTTTTGCTGCACCTTCAGAAAGATCCAAAAGAACCACCTTGTCTGCAACATCCTGTATGAATAAAAATAATACAGATCAGAATACAGACAAACCAAAACAAAACTCGTTTGTGTGGGAGGGAGGAATAAAAACCAAAATTCTTCCCATTTCATTGTTTGCTGTACTGTGTACAAATCAAACAAAATTACTGGTCAAAATTACTGCCAAAACACAAGGAAAAGGACTTAGTTTTGTGAGTTTTTCATTTGTTTTGTAATGTGTTTTTTCCAGCTAGACTTCCTAAATTATTTTTGGGAAGTCAAAAATTACTGTTGCTAAAAAAGACTGTTAAAATATACTGTCACTGTTGTACCTAACATACAGCTGTGATGAAGCACAGCCAATCTACAGATTATCCTTTTGCAGGGAACTAGGAGATGCCAGTTGTAAAAGGCTACTGCTGAGACAAGAATCCTTTAGGGATTTTCAAAGTAAGTGAATTCAATACTCAACCCTTTGAATTAAAAAAGCTGACTGAGAAACCGGGGCAGAAAATGAACACCTCTGTGTGTCTTAAGTTAACTGAAGAGACAAATGACCTATGCAGTAACAGTTGTTAAAAGTGATGAGGTATTCCTTAGAGTTAGATTGGAATCCTTTCTCTTAATCAGGTCTCTTGCTATTTTTAATAATTATGTACCTTTGCTGCAACAGCTAGTACACATGCAACGCCAAGATCTCCAGCTCCAACAACAGTAATTTTGTTAAAACATCCTTCATTTCTGCTTCCAGTTTTACTCCTTGATTTCATGTCAGTCTCTCCTGCAATTAAAAGAAAACCACAAACTTGGCTGCTGGTCCACACTGTATCAATACAAGTATTGCTGCTTCATAAAGGATCGTGGTTGTGCCAGAGTTTAATCAAGTTACTTTTTCAAAATAGCAGTCAAGACTGAGCACACAGAAAACCCATCACAACTTGCAGGGTGTAAAACAAATATTCCTCTCTAGACAGGAATGTTTTTTTCACTAAGTAGAAATACACAAGCATGACAATAGCAAGAAGCTGAACACTGAGACCACAAAACCAGCACTCCCTTTGCTCCTGTTACAGGTGTGCATACAGACCATGGCCATAAAATTTGTAATATATGAACCATGTAGGTTTCTTTGTGACATCAGGTAATGACAGTAAGTGAATACATTTTATAAGAACATTAGAAACAAGTCCATGAAAACATCCCCACCTTCAGTAATCTTTGCAATATAGGAGAGAAGTTCTGATTGCCTGGCTGCATCAGAAGATGACAGTGAGTACAAAGGGAGCTCTTCCTCAAACTTTGCAATCATTTCCTTGATTAATCCAGTGAGAGTTGATTTAGGCTGAAATACAGCAGACAAACAGAAGACAAAACAGCTGAACAGCCATTTCATGTAGTGGTGTCAGCTATGAACTGCCAGAGCCACACAAAATTTAATCAAATTATAAATACTGACACTCTTAACATTTAAACAAACACCTAAGGGACAGAAAAGTATCACTTTGAGAAGATACTTTCCAAATAGGAGTATGAGGAATTTAACAAAATGAATTCTAAAATTGAAATTACCAGTGCTAGTGGTTTTTGAAGGCATCCATTGAATATATGGAAGCCTTTGATATAGCCACATCCAATATTATAAAAGAGACAAATCCTAGCTAAAGAGAAGTTAGTTCAGTCTTCTTAGATGAGCTCAACTGTCCAGAGTTCTGGCATCTCAGTTCTCCTCCAGGCAAAACACACTGTGAAGTTAGCAGAAGTTCCCTTAGGAATTTCTGTATCAATAATGTAAAATACATTTTACATGCCCATTCATTTCAAAAAGTTGGCATTCATTAAATAATTTTCATTGGCCTGGCAGTCATATTTAAATGAGTAATTTAATACAGTGCATAAAATCATTTATCAACAGCACTGACTTTTGAATCTCTGTGCTGTTTCAGAGTTCTGCCAAAAGAGACATACACAAAAGGCAGAAACTTCCACTGAACTTTCCTGAGGGATCCTGAACTGGGACAGCAACAAAGTATCACGAGGTTTACATTGCTTTGTAAAGAATCAGTTCTTCCTTTTTCACTAGAATTACTCCCCACTGCCTTTAGCAGCCTCAGACTGCCTGAAAGCTCCAGATGACACCCTGCAGTATTCCCAAATGCCTCCCTCCCTGTCAGCCACCCCACCTCTTACATGGCTCCAGTTCTGCAGGTAGGGCAAATAGATCCTGCCCCGGGCATCCACGTGTTTCCCCACCGCAATGCCCATGCTTGCCGTCGGCTTCAGGAAGCAAAGGGGCGGAGCAAAGGGATGGGAATCCAGGATCCACAGCCGGACAGGGATGTTATAGGAACTGCCTGCTGAAATAAAAGCCATTCATAACTCCTGCACTGACAAGAGGCACTTAAGACCAGTTTGTGAGTGATGTAATTCACACTTTGTAGTAACAAAGGAAAAAAGCCTGACAGAGCACTTCCAGATTCACACTGGAAAATATTTATATTACTTAGGGTAATTAATAAAACCAGACCAACTTGAAATGTTACTTATTGTGCCTTTCTTTATATAAAGTTCTGTTGCTCTTTTGCTTCCCAGGGTCCTCTCTCAGCCAACCTGTCCCCTTTCCCCAGCAAAGAAATCATACATGTATTTCATACTTATTTTACGACTTAACACCTACTGCAAAAAAGCATCTATAAAGAGCTTTGCATCAGACTCCAAAGGCTTTAAGTTGAAAATAAAAAATTGCCTACAAGTTATTTTTGGACACTGTCTATACAAGTGTAGGTCTCAGAGAGTTCACACAAGCTCCATTAGCATCAAAGATTTTGCCAACACGGTCTCAAACAACACTATTTTTAAAATAGTTAATTTACTTATTTAATTAACAACACCTTATTTCAGCATCTGTGCACCTCTTTCTGCAGTAGAAGTGACTTCTGCCAATTCAAACAAAATATTTTCTAGTCCCCTTTGAAGACACTGCACAGTGAACTGTTAAGAGGCAGAACCCAACACATTCTACATTTAGATTCATAACTGCCAAGAAAATTACATTTGATTTATCTTACCATATTTCACTGGAACAGTGCCACTAAAATTCAGGAGGTCCTTCTGGGATCCATCCTTGAAGGCTGAAATTAAAAACGTAGTTTAAAAAAATTAACTCCTTTCAATCCTGGCATAGCAAGCCCATCCACAACTACAAATATCCAACAGTGATTTTTCTTTAGAAATCAAATGCACTTCTCCTGAAAGAACTAAGGTTAGAATATTACTAAGGTCCCCCCAACCTTTTAAAATACTTTCTTAATGAAATTTTAACACAAATCCCATTGGTACAACTAAGCACATCATTAGTCTGAAAACCTTTTGTCCTGTGTAATGCTGATGTTGTGGGAATTTCCAGTCAGGCTGATGGATTCTGGAAGGCACACTCTGTAAGCTAAAGCTATCAAAATACTTTCTATACAATAATGAAATATGGGGAAAAGCTGTTACATATAAAGAATTTAAAGTATCAATCTTCTATAATTACTGACAAGTTGAGGTAAGATGAAGTAAATGAGTTGCCAAGGCTTTTCTATGTTTGCATCCTTGGAAGAGCATTCAGGAGCAGTAACATGGCCTGAGAAGTTTTACTGCAAGTCAACATAAAGACAGGAACACAACAGAAATATGTTCACATTCTATTACACACAGCCTGCATTTATGGCAAGTAAGAACGCCCACAAATAGTTCAGAGTTACTGTATCACTTCTTACTGTATGTGTTCATGGAGAAGGTGAAGTTGGGGTAGGTCTTGCTAACATCCTTCAGCTCTTCTATGGTCAGGTCTCTGAACTTGTACTGCAAAGGGGGAGGAAAAAATAAGGAAAAAAGTTTCACTTCAAAGGCTTCTGTCTGAGAGTTAGGGAAAAGGACACTATAGAAGGCAGAAACACAAGGGGAAGGTAATAATTACTTTTAGTACTATAAATAGTTTTGATGCGAAATAAATTATCAAAAAGACTTGATTCCAAAAGCTTTGAAGCTATTGCAGGTCTGCTGTTGAAATTCTGAACGTCACTCCTTATATACCATTTCTTCCCCTTTACAGCTGTGTGAGCAGAAGCTTAGTAAACCTTAGTCCCCTCCGTACATATTAAAAAGAACATAAGAATATGAACCTCTTAGGAAAAGGAAGTTATTTTCTTACAGACAGAGTTAAACTCAGGTCCACCTGCGCACATTTTAGAAGAGTTTACTAATATGTCACTTTCCACAAATGTGTCAAATGTGTAAGTAATTAGCCTCTAGGATTTTTTTTCCTTTTTCAGCTGTCCTTGAGAGCTGAGAAAATTAATTACTTCTGCCTAAGAAGGTCCCCAGCCAGTCCAATACCAAGAGATTTGCATCCTCCCACATCCCAAAGTTACAAAGAGTATTTTCCATTTCCTAGATTAGAGCCTCTGCTCCTCCTTTAGGCAACTTGATGCTGGTTTTTTGGAACCCTTGCCTAAGTAAACAAAACTGCTGCCTGACAGTGGCTAAAGAGCTGCTCACTGCCCTGGAATAATTGTCACAAAACAGTAGCTAAAATCGAATTTCTCTTCGGTTTGCTGCCCCAGCAGCAATGTGACAGCTGTGGGCATGGCACAGTTATTTTCTACTGCCTACAGAAAAACAGAGCTACTGACAAAAAACACCTTTCAGTCAGCTTCCCCCCATCGCTGGATTCTGAAAGTCATGCAAAAGAAACAATAAAAAGAATCCAACGTTCCCTAACTGTGAATGTCTACACAACCTACACTTAATGCATTTTGGAGGCGTTGGTATATCTGGTTGTGAAACCAAAGTCAGCTTTCCCTAGCTGGTCTCCTTCTACTCATAATACAAAACATTCCTATCAAGCAGTTTGTCCTCCTCTAAAGACCACAGCATTTACGGGGTGACTCACATACAGACCTTCCTCATTTCGCACCCAAAATTATTCGGCATGCCCGATGCCTAAATACACCCCCTCAGTTTCCCACGTGGGAATTAAAACGCTGAGAGTGATGTTACAACAACGCGCCTGTGCTCCTGAGGCGTGGAGGCGCTAACGCGGGGAATGCCACAAAAATATTAAAAAAAAAAGACCAAAAAACCCCCACAAAAAACCCCAAAAAAACAAAGTTATGGATTTCCGATGAGTGAAGAGTAAGGTTTGAGTCGTGAGGCGTGGCGTGAACCAGGGGGGTAAACTGATGCGTGGCGCAACTTAAAGCTCGGCTGTATTAGGACAGCGCAGACACCGGGATGCGAAGGTGCAAAGGGACGGGACAGGAGTCCCTCGGCAGCCGCCCCCAGGACACCACCGGGCTCCCGGCCCCGCGCTTCCCCTGCCGCCGGCTCCCTCCGCCCTCCCCTCCCTCAGCACCGCCCGCGCCCCCTCCCCTCAGCTCCCCGCGGGCGCGCGCACCTTGCCCAGCTGCCGCCGCAGCGCCTCCTCCGCCAGCGCCATGGCGGCGCGCGCCGCTTCCCGGCGGGCCTCGCGCGGGGCAGCACCGCCCTCAGGGAGGCGGGCAGCGCTCGGCCGGGAGAACGGGCCAGGCTCGGGGGTTTTCAGTGCCTTTCTAAGGCATCGGGAGCCGGAGGGCTCTGGGCTAGATGCTGTTTCCACCCACCGTGGTCTAGCAAAATGTGGAATGTGTCGAGATTATCTTAAGCCAGGATCTTCTTTGATCTAAGATCATGGTATACTTTCAAGCCTAATTAGATGAAGAGGCAGCAGCCAGCATCCAGTCAAAGACGCCCGTGAACGAACAAGCTTTAAGGATGCAGTAAATCAAGGTGTTGGTCACAGAACCACAAACTATGGTGAGCTGGAAGAGAGCCATCAGGATGATGGAATCCTGCTGGCCCTGCACAGGACACCCCGGCAGTCACACCCTGTGCCTGAGAGCATTGTCCGAATGCTTCTGGAACTCTGCCAGGCTGGTGCTGTCAGCACTGCCCTGGGGAGCTCTTCCAGTGCCCAAACACCCTCAGGGTGAAGAACCTTTCCTTATGCCCAACCTGAACCTCCCCAGACCACATCATGCCATTTCCTCGAGTCCTGTCACTGGTCACCACAGAAAGACATCAGGGACTGTCCCCCCTGCTTGCCCTCATGAGGAGGTTGTAGGCTGCTATGACGTCTTCCCTCAGTCCCCTTCTGAAATAGAGATTTTTAGAGTTCACTTGAATTAGCAATATGAATTGAGCATTTAAAGTTTGGCCTGTAGAATTATGTGTTGAATTTTAACCTTTTTACTTAAGAAATCTCTGCCATAGTACAAAGGGCATAGAAAATGCAAATTTTTGAAGCTTCTTGCATAAAGAACAATACCAGAGAAGACCAAAGGATGAAGAGCCCAGATAAAGGGACTCCTCCATCTGCAAGCTAATCAAGGCCGATAGACGTACTCAGATAAGCACCAAGGGACCAAAAGCGCATGTGCAAAGGAGAAAAGTTCCAAAGTTCAGTGATGAGGAAGACCACAAGACCACAATCTTCAGCCTCAGAGACCACCAGAGAGCCTCATGCGACCACCACAGCAAACAAGGCGTGCCCAGAAGGGCGTGGGTCTGATTACCATGTGAGGCGAGAACAGGCGGGGCCCGGGGTTGAATATGCATGGCAAAGCTGTGCAATGTATTGCTTATGGAATACCTTTGTAATAAAGATGTGGGTCAGACTGAGGCTCGGAGCACAAGTTTTCACGGGAGCTATCTCACTTGTGCCGGGCGCTGACATACATACCCACTTCATACCTATGTCTGGTTGTAAAGTTTATTTATTCTGCATATCACTTCACTTCAGGCTGAACAAGCCAAGTGACCTCACCCACTTCTACAGCTTCTCCTCCAGACCCTTCTCCATCCTTGTGACCACACACATATTTAGGGATGCAGGGATTTCTTCCCTATATGTTGACAGTATCAAAACTGACTTGCAACTTTATGGAATTAAAAATCTGTAAATACAAACCTCACATGAATTTATTTCCCTACATTAGTCTCTTATTTTTTAAGCCTCCCTACAACACAGCAGAGAGACTGGAAAATTGCCTTTTGGAAAGTGGGCCATGCAAGTCTGATGGCCAATTCAGTGGAAAACACAGTAGGTTCAGCAAGGTTAATGGTGACAAATGCCAGTTCTATCCCCCTAACTGACCAGAAAACTGACAGAATGGAACAGACCAAGCATGATAATAGCATGTTTTTACAAGGAGCAAGCTCTTGAGCAAGCTCATACCATTTTTTCCTCCCTCACTTTAGGCCTCTGATACAAGGCCAGAAGCAGACAGTATCAGACAGTATCAGGCAGTATCAGACTAAGAGCACAGTTGTTGATACAGCCATAGCAGACAATAATTAGGTTTAGAACAACCTTCATTAAGCTTCTGCATCATACATAATGCTTAATGATGCTGATTCTGCTTCTCTACTGAACCTGTGTGTGATGTAATGAAGAATGTTACAGCTTCAGTGTTCAGTTTGGAAAACAGCACAAGATCAGTCCTTCAGTCCTCAGGCACTGCAGATTCCAGCAAGTGCTACACATCATTTGCCCAGCAAGCATATACATCTTCAGTTAAACTTTTACAGAATGATCAGCATGAACATTTATCTAAACTTTTAAAGTGATAATTTGAAAATAGTTTTGTTTCATAAAGGCCTTAGCACAGACTAATGTTTGAGAATAAAACATTCCTTTTAAATTTTTAATCTCAAACATCTAAATTTTTCTTATTTCACAGGGAAAGTCTGATAGATATTTAGTTATTAGTAAGTTTGATGCTTGGAAACATTTTTAAAATCTCTATGTTCATACATAACCAAAACAACCATAGCAACCAGGACAGTGACCACATCCCCATGGCAGTGACACACTGCTCCTGGTAGTAGTGTTTCTGTTTGAGGCTTAGAAGTCACCCTTGACTAAGCTTGTACCCAAACTACAGATGCAAATTTCTTAGTACTTACTATGACTCAAAATCTTCTCTAAACATCATTTGCAATGAATAACTCTGTATTACATCAACAGAGTATTGCCAGCTAATCTCTAGGTAATGACACATCTTGCTAGCAGGCTGACACACAGCCTTGCTACTCCATGTATCCTCTAGTAGTTCCTCTGCCCCCATCACTGGGAACACTCTTTCAAATGAAGCTATAGAATTTTGCATATTCTTACCAAACAAGCTGTAGAAATTCTCCCAAACTGAGATTTATCAAGCAATACATCCAGCTGTTATATTATTACAACTCCTCACTGCATAAAAGGTTACCCTGTGTATTAAAAAACAGCATTTTGCCAGCAGTACACACATTTGTTCTGACTGAGATGTTTTCTTTGAGACTTGGTAGAAAAGTTAAGATGGTGAATGAAACAGAAAATAGAACTGCAATTTCTCAAGTGCTAAGGGAGAAGGCAAAGCAAAATTACAGTCTTGGGGTGACATGGATCTTGTCTTGCAGCATATGACTCTGGAATTTTATTCAGCTCTACCCAAGAGGAAAATGACATTTCTACAGCCTCAGACTTTCATACTCTAAATACAAGTCTTATTATACTGCTTGCCTGGGAACATCCTGCGTCTATACAGTTGCTAGCTTAGACATAAGCCAGGGGAAATTATTCTTAACAATAGGAAACTACTATCCAGGAAGCATTTTAAAGGATTTTCTCCAGTGGAGAAAATCATGCAATGCTGTGAGTTGTCTAAATTAACTTCAGAGTAATGGAATGGAAATTACAAGTTCAACTTGTAAATATTACATGCTAAGGGGAAAATTTGCACTTCTAAAGTATACTCAAGTTATCATCCCAGGTACCAAAGACTGGGTAATAACTGCAGGCCAACCACAACACAAGTGGCAGGAATGAGCTTCCTAACAAAACCCAAACCACCTCAGGCTCTGGGAATATCATGACTAAGAGCATTATTTATCTCAATGCTCCCCTTTGTTCTGAACAACCAGCAAGTCACCCATGTGTGTGATCTACACTGGGACCATTTTGTGTGTCATAACAATCACTTACAAAGCAAACCAAGCAAGGCTGGATTTAAGCCAGCAGCTATGAGGCACATCAGCCCTCATTGGCAACTGTAAAAACAGTGAAGAGACTTTCCACAAAAGTGTTATATTTTCCTGCCAGCTTCAGCACCTCACACTGCTTGTAAACAGGGCTCCCCATAGCCTGGGCCATGTCATGCACCATGCACTGCCATTGCCACATTCCCTGTGTACATAGCTGGCAAACAGAAGCCAGGCTAATAAAGGAGGGGTTGCTGGCTCTCTCCTTTTGGCTGGGGAAGAGGGTGGTAACAGCAGCACATCCCTCTGTCTGAACTCTCTACATTCACCAGGACCAGGTGAGACCAGGTGCCTGTCTACATATCATTTACAGTCCCATTTGACACTACTGTGGAGGTCTCAGAAACCCTTCCTGCACATTCTGCACAGATCAAGAACTAGATAAAGTGCCCCTCCTGTCCAAAAATAACTGTAATCAGTACTGTTCATCAGCTACAGAGCAGCAGGTCAATCCAAGGGGGCTCTGCTCTACCACACACATTTCTTTGTTTGGCCAAATGTTCACATACTGAACATATGTAAGGAGCACAAGGCATCCATACAGCACAAGGGCTGGAAGAAGGTGGCAGGGAGAATTATTGCCTCATTGTGATAGGGAGCTGAGGACAGACCCACAACAAACATCATGTACCCTTAGTTGCATCACTCAAGGAAGCTACTTACCTCTCCTGAAGAAATCCACAAGAGAGGTTTCATACATGGAGAAGTGCAGGTAAAGGCACTCACACAGCCTTTTTTACTCCATGTGTTCACTGGTACATGTTCAGTTATTCCCATGCACTGCAAAACCTGCAACTCTACACTCAAGTGTTTTTCAAATCAGAATCAAGCCAACTCCTTCGACCAAAAAAACCTACTGAATCTCTTGATTCTTTAAATTGTTGATTGCCATCAGCTTTGAGACAGAGTATGAGATGGCATCAGTTCAGAATATTTGCCTGTTCTCAAGCAAGGAATGTTGAGAAAGTTACATCCAGGACACAAAAAAATCATGGATTTGTCAGTGGAGGGAGAAGGATGTAGGCAAAACCCAAGACTGCCATGAAGAACCAAAGGTAGGAAACCTCAAAGCAAATTAAGCACCAGGTGGTGTGGAAAACCAGAACTGTTAGCTGTGGACAGAGAAATCAGAACTAAACTCATGACATATGAGTACTTCAGGAATGACCTCTGTCCTTAATTTCATTCCACAGAGTATGGCAAGCATAGTACACCCAGGCTTTTTAGATTCCCAGACTCATGGAAAAACAAATGTTTCCATATCAGTTCCAAGGGTAAGAAGAGGCTGTGGGATAAATAAATTGAAGTTCTGTCTTGTGGAACTGAAATCTTATTCCAAATAAACTACAACTAAAAGTGGTCCTCAAACAAGGGAAACCTGTAATTACTTGTTTTTCCTCAATCTGAATAAAATAATTTTGCTTCCAGAAGTAGCTTTACTGGCTGGGTTAAGATAATGACTCAATGCAGAGCCACCCTCCTCCTGAACAGAACACCTCTGCCTTGAAATAACAGCTGAGATTGACTGATCACAGCTGTTAAGATATATTAAAAATATCAAGGGAAGTTCCAAGGAAGATATGATTACATGCCTTCAAAAGAAGGTAATCATAGGACACATTAAATGAAGATTTGCAATATTTTAGAAGACTGTTTTTTTCAGCACAAGAATATGAGGAACAGCAATGCTGGCACAAAGGCAGGTGTGCTCACTGATGTGTATCCATTCATCCATTTGGAAGTGGGTCACAGCACCAGCTGATCAGAACAGTCATTTACTTCCACCATCAAAGCAGAAAACCCTTCCAGAGGAGACAGCCATCAAAGGAGTTCAGACTCCTTACATGGGAACATGGAAGGATGCTGTTTGTGAGCACTTAAATGCAAAAGATTAAAGGCAATGGGCACACTTGGGCATATTCTAATTCTAAATACATGGTCCTCCAAGTACATACCATGTCACAGCCTGAACTGCAGGAGACACCAGCAACTTGCAGGTGTCTGAAGGGTTCTGAACCCTTTTCTGAAGGGTTAAGCGACTCCATTACATTTTTCATACCTTCTTGCTGCCTGCATGAGAACCATTCTCAGAGAACATTCAGACTGACACTGCTGTATGTGGAGTTCAGAGGAAACAGCAGGAAGTAATTCTGATAAATCTTCCATAAAAGTAAACCAATGAGAAATAGCAGTAAAATGTTTAATGCCTGTAATTTATTGTACACATACTCGGCAAAATTTTTATGCATTTGGTGTGTGCTAAAGTATACACTTCCTTGACAGCACCAGAGAGCAGGTAAGCTATGGACGAGTTTTTAACCTGATTTGTCACATTGTGTATAAAGACACTGTGTACACATGATATCCCCAAAGGAAAAAAAATCATTGGCTAAAACTAGAAGCACCCTTATTTACACACTAACACTTTAATATTGCGTCACACCCACTCACCAAAATAAATAGAAATACATTCATCACAATTTAAACACCAGTCTCTCCATATATTTATTTTCTGACATGTTTTGGTCTCCAGAAATATGCTATATCTAGAAATATGTATCAGCTACTAGATTATGTTACAAAAGGCAAAAAAAAAAAATAGAAAATTAGTTTTCCTGGACAATATTTTGGGCTTTACACAAAAATAAATCCAGATTTCCATAGAGATCTCATATACTTCTTGAAAGATTTTTATTTTAAAGCACAGCACAGAGTTGCACACTAAGGCTTCCTGTGATATGCAAAACCCTGGCCTCCAAAAGACATCGCTGTAAAGTGAAATACAGCTCAAGTGTAAATACAAGACATTTTCAAAAAGTAGTCATCAATAGAAAGTGCCCTTCATTTGATTTAGCATTAGCAGTAAAGAAGTAGCTACCTTAATTGTGCAATCAAAGCCAGACCTGGAAGGGTTTTATGAAAAGTACATCATTTCACACTCTCAAGTTTAAGGATATAGAATCTGAGATAGCAGAAACCAACCTTTTTATCCTCCTACATTCATTATTTTTTGACACAATTTAGTAAAAAGGCACATTGTCAAACGGTGAATTAAAAATCTAAAACCAAACCACAATTTCCTTAAATACAATTAAATCATTAGCTGAACATCCAATCCTGATAAACCAATGTAAGCATTCTTCTAGTTTTTTTCTTCATCTCAAATTCAGATGCACTTTGGAAGTACTGAAATACTGTCACTAGATAAATACTATTAATCTGGCAAACAGTAAACAGGTTTTTGGATACAAGGTCAGGAATTAAAAAACTAGTTTAGTTCCTTCCTAGCTGACATACAAATATGCAACATATATGCAAGCACATTAAAAGCCAAACATTTGTACAAAATAGGAAACTCATCAGCATCCCATGCCAATTATGAGAAAGTACTTCTTGACTGTAAAATTACAAATGTGTCCTTGAATAATTTTTCAAACGGAATAGACAAAACTGAAGCAATGATCACTGTGTGAAGAAAGTTATGCAGTGTCTTAGGGAGGCTAGCAGAGTACATTCCAGTCACCATCTACATGACAAAGTGCTTTACAGATTAACAAGTTTAACTGAACTTGCATGGTTAAATAATCAGAAAGTGGTGAAATAATCAGGTTTTGCTTAACCTTATTTGTCTGAAATGCAGATTTCTTTCCCAACTGAACCAATTTCAACTTAATATATTTCTTTTGCTTCATAAGAGACTTATTTCTCCCCAGCCAGGTAGGAAGTTGCTCACAGATGATATAGTTGTCTGGGTTGATGGACCTCGAGTCTTTCTCCAGCTAAAAAGAATAAAAAAGTACAAACCCAGAACTTGATCATGGTCCCAAAGCCCATTGTCCTGAATGGGTAATTCTAGAAGCCAGGAAATCTCCAACAGGAAATGTGAGATGGTCCCAATGCAGCAGAGAATACAACACACTTCTAGACAGTGAGGCTACACTATCTTGCATGGTCTCAAGTGCATACACTGAGACAGTTTTTGTTAGTTAACAGCAAAAGTTAGAGCAACAATGGTATCCTCACCTGGGCTCCATATTAGCCAATACTGAGATAGTCTAGAGAACCTATACCAGTAACTTCCATCAGTATTTTGCTGAGGCAGTGAAATGGTACACCATTGACAGAAAACATCTTAAAAAGGCAAAGCTGTTTTTTCTTACATTAAGAACCAGATGTTTAAACTTCAGCAGCTTCCAAGACTGTTCCTTACAGGTTGCTATCTGAACTGCTTCCTAGAAGCAGCACTGTTAAGAATAGCCCCAAGAGGAAAGGTTCCTTTGTCGTTTCTCCACAAGGTAATTTTTCTTTTTTCCCCACCCCTGACCAATGCCCAAAGCCCTTTTTTTACTTCTTAACCTATTTCCAGCATTAAAACATAACGGCCTGAAGCAGCTGAATGCAGATGCTACCAATGGAGTCCTGGAGCTTGAGGCAAAGCTCAGTAGTGACACTGGTGAGCTTTGAAGGGCAACTTGGGGAAACCCAAGTGGATGCAACACCAGATTTGACCTTCAGGTCTCCGTGCAACTTCTGTCGACTTAATGAACCCTGTGCTGATTATAAACAAATTCAGTTACTGAAACAAACAGTCTTTAAATGCATAGTTAAAAATAATGTGCAAATATGGGCATTAAGGTAAGTAACTGAACTAAGGCTCCTGCTATACATATTATTTTAGGTTTTTGGCTTGCTGAAAGCAATCACAAGTATTAACTAGTTAACATGATGTTAATACTGAAAAGCTGCAAATGGCATTCTAACAGAACTTAATTCTGATGTTCTTTCTGAACAGTAAATCTAATCAGATAAATGACTGCTTCACATTCTAAATAATTTAACCATCGGATGTTTAATGCAAGAAAAAACACAGTTTGTAAAGCAGCAGTAGCTGTTAAACAAATCTAAAAATTTACAGGGCAGGAGAAGAATTCCCAAGCATATGCTTGAGCTCAAAAGCACAGGTTACATACAAACACTAGAAATTTCTGTTTTCAGGGTGTGTGTTTCTCATACTGAATTAGACTGGCACTGGAATTCCAGACAGAGTAAAAGCCAACATAATCTTTTGGCTATATCCATCACTGCATGGTTTGCAAATGACATGCACTTTTCTGTTTAGAAATAAAGAAGTTCAAATTATTTTTATGGGTCCTCAAATCTAAAGATCTGCAGCACTTTATTGCCTTAAACACCTGTGGGCTGTGGTTGAATTTACACCCAAGCTACTGCTGTGCAGAAGATGACATTTTAACACTTTGAGGCTCAGGTTGGGAGATGGGGCAGGATACAGAGCAATCTCTCCAAGTCTCAAGAAATATCAGGGAACAAGAACGCTATTCCTTTCTTTCAAGTGAATGCAAAATTGGTTTACTGGTACGTGGCCCACACAGTTCCAAGTCAGTGCATAGCTAGTCAATATTTCTGCTGGCATCTTGAACTGGTTTAATCAATGGAAACATCTATTCATTTTATTCCATTTAATATGCATTAGTGCATTAATTTCTTCATTAAAAAACAACCCTGGCAAGTATTAAAAATAAATATCTTATTTAAGTCAAGCTAAAGCCTTGCTTTTCAGTACTTTAATCCCTTTAAATATTCTTTTGCCCGCTAACAAGCAAATGGGAACTGAAGTAGAGTAAGAGATGTATGGAGGCAGAGGGGAGCAGAAACATGAACAAAGCCAACACCGTGAGTCACTTAACGCGTCCTCAGCTTCTTCGACTGTCTCTTGCGTTTCAGCTCTTCTTCCTCCCGTCTCAGCTCTTCCAAGTCTTCCTGAACACCGAGTCTCAAGCTGCCAAGCAAGATTAAATCCTTTACACTGCTACTCAGGACACTTGAGGCTTTGCTTCTACATGCCCAAAAAGCAATGCTAAAAATACTACAGGTGATTTGAAGAATAATTTCATATCAGGTCTTCTTTAATTATAGAATGAATGCAGCTTTTTTCAACCCTGCAAAACCTCACTCCAGGATGTCAACAGTTTGGTTAACAGCAATCTTACTTAAAAATTGCCTTCATTTCTCCTAACTCCACTTAACAGACTATAGTGTTCCATGGGCTGCAGATATTCCTCAGGAGCCAGGAGGAATAAGGACACTGACTATAGGTTCAAAGATGCAAGTTTCTAATGTTCAAGGCAAAATCTGAATAACCATATAGAACCAAAGAATTTGGTGACTCCATGCATTCCAATATTTGCATTTTCTATAGAAAACCCTTATAACTCTCACAAAGCTTGTCTCCCATCACTTATTTAAAACCAAAGAATTAGCTTATCTCATAAGAATTCTGCAGGCCCAAAGGTCAAAACCAACGTGAAAATATCACCTTCATAATTTATATCAGTGACTATACAAGCTTGTCAGCATACTTTCTCTACTTCTATAGAAATAGACATACACATATGTATAGATAAAAACAAAAAAAAGTCCAGACTTCAAACTAGCAGAATATTGTAATGCTTGGGACCAATTAAAGAATTTGGAATTTCAAATGAAACGTATAATTTAAAATTTTTTTTTGAAATTAATTAGTTTTGCTTTTTATTAGTTCTTAACAAGCCAGATTTGTGAAAGATAAGGACAGACACAACTTACATAGTGCATCCACCACTGGCTGTATGAATTCCATCTTTTACTTCAGCTTTCTTATAAAAAACTGTAAGGCTTGCTGTTAAAAGCAGAGTGGATATTTGCTAGCTTAGCCCTATGACTTGAGAAATAAACAAACTTTACAATTTGTATCCAAGTTCAAATCCATGCATACCTCCTAGCTTCTTCTTTCTGTTGCTCTCTCCAGCTGCTCTCCATATAACGTAAGGCATAATCACTTTCATCTTTGTACCTGAAAATAAAATATCAGTTTGTAGCATATTAAAAAAATAGGAAATGAATTAATATCCCTTCTTAGGAAGAATCATTACTTGTTCTATTGCTTGTTCTGCAATATCTTAAAATTGTTACTTCTCTTACCTTTTCCGGTCATAGCCAAATATTTCCCGAATATGTTTTGATATTTCTTCTTGAGATTCCCCTTCATCTTCAATGAAGTCATCCATTTCAGAGTCATATTCATCATCATCATCATCATCTATTTGTCTCTTGTAACTAATAGGTGGTCTTCCAAGACCTAAATGACAGGAGACAATAAAATCATTAACTAATAACATGAACATAATTTTAATTTAACAGTACTTCTCCTTGCTATACCTTGGGCATAGCCATTTTCTGGGCTTCACTGTGGAAAACTTCTGCCTCAAGTTAACCAGCATTTCTTAGAAATTCAGCAAGAGAAGATACTTCCTGAGTTGTGCTAGAGGAGATTACCTATCAGGATCAGCAATGGCATCCTGAGGAAAGCAGATATCTATTCTTTGCTCTGGACTTTACAGACACTTATTCACTACACTCCACACTGCTTGCTCCTGATCAGAAACAAATTTTTAGAACAGCTTGTCACTGATAAGATAAATCTGCCAAAACACTGAAATGTAAAACCTTTGAGTGATTTTTCATCTAGCCCTTCAAGCATCTGTTATTTAAGACACAACAAAGTTTTCCAGATCAACTATTAGGCAATTCTGGAAGCAAATCCTTCAATTCTTTTAACAGCGTTCATATACCAGTATCCATCACAGGCTGCTTAGTTTTCTTTCATGTGATACTTCACACCACCTGTATTTAAAAATTACAAGCATAGGTAAAAATAAGTAAAATAAATTAAAAGCTGCTATATTTAATGTTATTTCAATTATTAAACTGTTCTTATCTGAGTTTCACTTGGGTTTTTTCCATTTCTTCTCCCCACCAGGGGACAGGGCATGCAAGCAGCTGCACACTACTTAGTTGCCCATTGGAGTTAAACCACAACAGTGAAAAAATGCTTTGTTCTACAAATGCATACCTTGTGGATGCAGCACAGGTCTATGCCCTGGAAAAGGTCTCATTCCATTCATCTGTCCATTGCTAGGTCTCGTGACGAGGTTTTTAGAAGAAATGGTTTCTGACACCACAGTGCACTTGGGTTTCCCAGCTGCGCCCGGGCCGCCGCCTGGTCGCGCAGCTGCTGCGCTTGTGCTGATGCCCGGCCTCCCTGGGCCAGTGCCCAAGTTGCTGCCTGGCTGCCTGGCTCCTGTGCTTGGACTGATTCCTGGCCTTCCTGGTCCTGTTCCCAGGCTGCTGCCCGCTCGCCCCGGTCCTACGTTTGTGCCACTGCCCGGCCTTCCCGGCCCAGCGGCCAAGCTGCCGCCCGGGCGCTTCAGTCCCACGCCTGAGCTGCTGCCCGGGCGCCCAGGTGCCGTGCTCGAGCCGCCCGTCGGCCTTCCCAGTCCCACGCCTGAGCCACCTCCCGGTCGCCCAGGTCCTGTGCTTGAGCTGCTGCCAGGCCTCCCAGGTCCTGTGGCTGAGCTGCTGCCAGGCCTCCCAGGTCCTGAGCTTAAAGCACTTCCTGGCCTTCCCGGTCCCACGCCAGAATTGCTGCTTGATCGTCCCGGTCCTGCACCTGAACCACCACCGGGATGCCCAGGTCCTCCTTTTCCTAAGCTGCTGCCGGATCGCTTTGCATTGGAGTTGATTCCAGGTTGAAGAGCTGCAGGTTTTCCTGGTTTTCCATGGGCAGGCTTTTTCAGGCTGGATTCTTTCACAGATGGCATTCTCTGAGCCCCATTGGCCATGGGTTTTGAGGGTGGCACCTGAGAGCTTGAGCCGGACTTTCTAATACCATTGACAGGTAATTTATTATGACTGCTACCAGTAGAGCTTTTTAAGGAACCATTTTGTGAGGCTTTTTCCATTTGATCAAGTCTGGAAGAAGATGATGACCGTGGATGTTTTTCAGTCAATGCTGGTGCTTTGGATTTCTTATCAACACTACCCATAGAAACAGATAGACTGCTTTTAGATGTGGAATGTTTATCTGCAGAGCTTTTATTAAGTTTTGTGTTTACAGATGCTTTTTGAGAAGACAGTTTTTTTGAAGAACTAGATATCCCTGTAGGCTTAATCTCTTTCTCACTTTTCTTATGCATTTCTACTTTTTTGTTTTTGCGTCCCAAAAACTCCCTCTCTCTCAATTCTTCTGCTGTTCTGGGCCTCTCTTCAACCTTTTTCACTGGTTTTATTTCCACTGGTTCATACTGTTTCTTTTCAGCAAGCCTCAAGAGCTCTGCAAAGTTCAGAGGTGCAGGTGCACTTTTGGGAGGTGCCTTTGGTTTCACTGCAGCTTTGGATGGTTTCTCTTCATATTCTTCTTGCTCGTGCTCAGATTCCGTCTGACTGTATTCAAGTTGCTCAGTTTCATCTTCTGTTGCATACTCAGCCTCTGGAGCTTGAGCAACATTCTCACAAGCCCTCCTCTTTTTAGACTTCTCTTCAACAGGAACACCATTATAACCATAAAAGTTATCCTTGGTTCGTGAGGCCATAGCTCTTGCCTTTCTGTCATGTTTCAGTTCAATGCGCCTCGCCAAGAGCTGCTCTTTCTTCCTTCTTTCTTCCAGTGCTGCAAGAAAACCAGGTCAAAGTTACACAAAAAGCACTACTTTTTATGTCAGTATTTTCCAAACTAACAAACCACTTAGGACAGCAACTTAGGGATATCTGGTTAATAGCTATCCAAAATAGATGAGAAAGTGACCCCAGGTCTGCCAACAGGACAAGCCGACCCTCCTGTGTCAGCTGCTCCAACAATGGCAAACAATTGAGTGAAATGCTGCTCTAACAAAACCCACTAAGGCTTTCTGAGGGAAGCAGCTTTCCAGGATGTTATGAAAATTGTGGAGAGCCTTTGTATAAGGAGGTACAGAAGTTATAGGATCTCTGTGTAGTGGAGGGAGTTCTGAGACTGAGCAAGAAAATCTTGAGACTATACAGAACTTATAATCAAATGTTTAAAGGAAGTTGAGGAAGGGGAGAGAATAAGAGTATTGGGGGGATAATAACTGGAAAATAGCCTAAGTGTGTGTGTGTAGAGGGATAAAAGGGAGACACAGACGCAGCTGAATGCAGATAAACAAGCAGCTGGTCATTACACAAGTCTGATAGAGCCCTGTGCCCTATCTCCACAGTCTGTCCTGTATCCTTACTGCTCTGGCTTAGCTGCTGTCTGCATGAGTGTGCTCTCTATCTTGTGTCTGTGACCTGCTGACAAGAGTCTGGATGAATTAGCTGGTGAATGAGACATCCAAATACAAAATACTGGACAGACCAAGGAGTAGGGGTTAACTACCAAGAAGATTCAGAAAATGTAAAATTCCTAGAAAATGGATCAGGCTACTCATATTTTGGGTGCCTATAAAGGTACCATTCCTTGTCTGTGTTATTCTGTTGTCAAGGGCTGTGACAGCCCAGAGTGTACCAGCATGCCCCATGTGGAATTTGTGCTTAGTCTTGCTTCTGGACCTGGCAACAGGATTAAGGAACAGACTCATGACTGGTCCAGGAGAGGAAGAATAACCTGGGCCATCCAGTCCACCAGATTTGGTTACCTTTAACAAAACATTAACATCAAAAGCAATGCAGTACTAGTTTATTCCATAGACTATTTAAAGGAAGTATAAAAATGGAGAAATCACATCTCAGAGACTCTTTAATCTGGTGCATCAATACAGACTGATACAGAACAATACAGATTGAAACAGAACAATGGCAACTCTTTCCATTTTTTCACACAGATGAACTTTTCAAAGTTAAGCTAACGAAAGTTGAGATAGTTTTTTGCTCTTCACCTTAACTGCTATCTCAACCTCCAGCCATAAATTCTAATGTAACTGAGTAATGTTTTAACCCCTTAGGAAAGCAAGCAAATGTCCCCAGCCCTTACTTAGTGCTAGCTCCCTCTCAGCATCAGATCTATGCATACATTCCAGAAACAGATGTGTAGCTGTATATGCAAGAAATTTGAATAAGGTGACAAATAGCAAAGAATAAATTAAAGCCGCCATAGGAGATATTTTGTACTTTTACCTTTTTTTCTCTTTTCTTCTTCTTGCCGTCTGAGAAATGCCTGCACTGCTGCAGACTCTACACCTTTGACTTTGGGAACTTTTTTGGGAGGACCAACAGCCAAACTGTACCTTTTCTGCAAAGAACAAAAAAATATGTCAGAAGAGTTAAGAAATGAAAAAAAATCCATCTTCAATAACTGAGGTGTTGCATAACAGTCCTGTACTTGACTTAAGCACAGAGCTGGTACAGAGTAAACAATGAATTCCCACTGAAACTGAGGGTTGTGCTGGATACATTTGACTCACAGCTGTACCTTCAGGCTGAGCAACCAGCCCCAAATCCTCAGGAAAAACTTGCAAGCTAGAAAGTGCCTGGTCCAAGGGAGTAGATGTGTCTGGAAATTTTTTTTTTTTTCTTCATAGCCATCAGAAGAGCAAGGTAACCAAAGTCCAGAACAAGATATCAGCACTAAGATAAGGACATTTATCTTGTCTATACCATTGGCCAGCAGCCAACCACTTCACCCTATAAATATTGCCTTCAGGATGAGCCTGATTTGAGCTTTGCCTGAAGTGCAGCTTACCTGGATGCCAGGAGAGCCCTTGAGCAGGGATGCCTCTCAGGGTAAGAAATTCCTTACCTGAAACTAAGAGATCCTTCCTCACCCAAGGTGGAGAGATTCCTTACTCATGACAGATCCTCAGCAGGTGACAGAGGATGTTGCATTAGTATTATGAAACATTACTAAACCATCCAGCCCATATTATTACAAACACTGTATGGATAATTCCATTAGATATATACCACTGACCAAGCCTGAGACTAAGAATGGATCCAGCCACTCCAAACTGAGTTAGAAAGCAAGGAGTCCACACAGAACCTTATGTCTCAACAGGACTGTGCTTCTTGCTCTTTGCATTGCCAGTCCCTGAGAATTACCCTAAATGAGCTTGTAAATGAATGGATTTGAACTCAACCTTCTTTTTTGTAGGTTTCTTCCATTAATAAAATAATAAAATTAACTTTGCATTAAACCTTGTCCAACCCCTGTTGAACTTTGTTAAATTCCAGTGATTTGTCAAATCATTATTTTATCTCAGAACATTTACTTTATCTCATTGCTGCCTATCTTTTGAGAGAGATACATTCACATGGATACATCCAGAATATGTGGATACATCCACAACAGGGCTCGCTCAGCTTTTGGAAGGAATGAACAGGAAACCAGAAGACAGGTAGGGAAACAAAATGAGTGAAATGAACTGGACTAATAAAGAATGCAATGGCTGCATTAGTAATGGAATAAAAGTATTTCAGTGCAGCCTTAGTCTTTAACCAAGAGGAGCCAAAAGCAAACTACAGCCCAAGCTGCCAGAGTCAATTAAATTCCAGACTGCAGGTTTACAGCTCCATTTTTAGCTTGCTTGTAGATACTCATTTCAGTTTCAGGCTACCTAATTCAGCAAAAATAGATAAATCAACTTAAAAAATGTAATTACTCCAAAAGCTGGAACGGACTTTACCAGCATAATAAATAGGCTGACGTAAACCCAACAATACTGACTTTAGTTCCTGCTGGCAGTGACCCTAAACACAATACTGCTGCACATCAAGGAGTTAGTGACCCACACACCAGCTGACCTGAAACTCTACTTATCACCCGAGACCAGTGTGACCTCAGCACTAACTGTGAGAGAACACACAGCCCTCACCCGGCAATTACAGCACTTGCACATGGTGTAACTTGCCAGGAGAAGAGAAGGCTCCAGGGACATCTGGTTGCAGCCCTTCAGAACTGAAAGGGAGCTTATAAGAAAGATGGGGACAGTTTTTAGCAGAGACAGTAACAACAGGACAGGGGGTATTGGTTTTAAACTAAAAGGGCAGATTCTGACCAGAAGTTGTTTGAGGGGAACAGGAAACACTGGCTCAGATTGCCAGGAGAGGCTGCAGCCCCCCCCCCCCATCCCTGGAAGCATTCAAGGTCAGGTTGGACAGAGCTCTGGGTGACCTGATCTGTTTAAAGATGTCCCTGCCTATTGCAGGGGAGTTGGACTAGATCACCACTAATGGATCCTAGTCTGTGATTCTATCTCTCATTATATCCTGAGGTGAAGCTGCATGTTTTCATAGAACATCCTTTTACTTGGCAGAGGAAATGATAAATTGCACTATGAACGTCCCAGGACCTCCTGCAAAAGCTCTAAAGACTACAGCACTGATTACATGCACCACAGACAAGACTTGCACAGCTTGCCATGCTTAAAAGTGCTGTTCAACCTGGGGTTCCAGCAAGTGAACAGGTGCAAAGTTATCTATGCTACCCCCTTTTTTGCTTCTCTTATATCCAATAAAGGTTACTTAAATCAATGTTAAGTGCCCAAGTGCCTCTTACTGGGTCCTATACCAACCATTTGCACTAGTGTGCTGCACCTGTTCTGACACTGCCTTTCACAAATGTACCAGATTGTGCCTGAAACTGGAAAAATAGAGACATTTTTTTAAATTTCTTCCCACAAACAAAATACAGAAGAAAAAACAAAGCAATCAGAGAGACAGTTGTAAAGATAAATACAATAGAAGGCAGTTAAACCCAGAAAGCAGAAGGAAAGCAGAATACATTTAGAAATAAAAGAAACCCCAATCCAAAACTGAGGTTTGAGAGGGTGGGGTTTTTTGTTTCAAAAGTAAGCCAACAGATCTCCCACATGAGACATTAAGATTCTCACCAAATGAAAGAGATGTGAAAAAAGACCCCCCCAAAAAAAAAGTATCACTAAAGAGCAACACAAGTCAGCATTTCTATACATATGTTTCTGTCCTCATAAAGCCTTATGAAACTTAACTAAAATAATCAAAACAAAATATCTGGTAAGGAAACCTACATCCAAATGCTTCAGAAGCAATAATCAGGCAGGCTGGCAGCCTAACTCCCTATAAGCATCAATATCACACAATGCAAGCCTTCATTCTCATTTCTGATTCACTGATCAGCAGCACATGAATGGATCTTGGTTTACTGTAATTACTAACATGCAAAGCCATTAATTAGCTGGAATACACATGCACTAAGAAGCAAGGTTTGGAGGCTCATTTGTAAGCTGCATCCAAAACTGGCTCCAAGAAGGGCACCTACAATACTAGCCATTGTAGTCTTCTCAAGCAGTTTCTGAAATGAGCAGAGCACAATTACTAAGGTGCACCATCCACACACATTGCATATTCAAACCTGCCCTGTCACCTCAGCACATTAAAGACCCGCTGCAGCCAAGCTCATTTACTGAGTTTCACCTCTACACAAGGAAGTTTACCAAACCTGAGAACTGATTTTCCTGTTTGCACCAAAAGAGTTCCAGGACTTGACTGCTCAGTTCCTGAACTGCCATGCAGCAGTGCCTCTCAGCTTTTGCTCAAATGTAGCCCATGGCTCTGTGTCCCAAAGAAACCTGGTTTACTCCATTTGAACTGGAACAGACAGGGAGGCAAAGCAATCCACACATTATCAGTCAAAATCCTGTCAGAAACAGGTTGAAGCAAATTAGTACCTTAGAAATCATTTGCAGTACTTTGCAGTATACTCATCTTAGTATAATGATGTCCCTGTAAATTATCTTACTAAGTTAAACACATCATATTTTGCCATTGGTAACCTAATTCAGCAAAGCTTCATTTAATTATTCCATTTCAACTGTGCCCTCAGTTTTGAAAACTCTGTTTTAAAAACTGTGCAGTACTCAAGCATCTTTTCCAGCCTAAATGATTTTGTGCCTAAGGAGCACCTTTGGAAACTGCTAAACAGCAGAGACAAATGTAGATTGATCTATTCTATTGGGAAACTTTATAAAGAATAAAAGTGATGGGGAAGCAGTTTTCAGGCTTTGTTTTGCTGCACTGTGACTAACAGCCCTATCCAGGAGCAGGTTTGTAAAGTAGCAGGACAGACAAGCTCATTTCTGACTGCTGTTAACATGACAAATCCTGCAAAATTTAAATTAAAATTTCCAATCAGTAGCATTTCTTAATATTGACTAACAACTGAAAATACAGCAAAAAAAATCATAAATGAGTATCAGCAATAGTACAGAAAAATGGATGAGTCTTGCTCACTTTTGTTCAGTAACAGCATAAAATAACCTGCTGAACTGTAGCCTTTCTAAAAGCACTGAACCATACACTCATTCTGCAAACACCAATGAAGTGTTTTATATGCAGTGCAAATGAATATGCATCAGACTGCAGGTAAAGCAGGCCAAATAAGCCAGCACTCGTCACTATACCATCCAAACAGCAGCTGCACCAGTCTGGCTTTTAATGACTATTGCTAAGTTGGTTAAATCAACAGAGGAATAGAAATGTTTAGCCTTTAGGAAAGAGCAGGTCATGCTGTTCCCAGAACACTGCACTCTCCAAGCTGTAAACAGTGATTATTTGCTTTGAAGTCACTGGCTTCCTGCAAAACGTGGCACATGATCCTGATAGAGTTGTAGCAACTTTGATGCCAGCATTCAAGTACCAAATCTTGGACTATAAAACAGAATTTATAAAATAATTGCAGACTTTTTGGCACCCAAATGAAGTCCCAAGGGGCCTAGACCAAACACAGATAGCCAGAAGTAGCAGTAGTAGTATTGCCTTTAACAATGGTCAATATTTACACAGGTGGCAATGCAGGATCAATGCAAGTGATCAATTCTGCCAAGCCCAGTTCTCAAGCAGAGCACCTGAGCAGCTCAGTCTCTGCAATGGGCTTGCACATGCAGTGCAAAGACAATTCCACTTGTGTTATCCACTGCAGGCAACTTGCAGGGGCTCTCACAGGCTGGGGAGATTCTTTTATTTGCCTGTTTGTCACTAGCATGTTACAACACTTTGCCTTTCCTTAACAGATCATTTCTTCCTTATCATCTGCCAAGACATGTAACCTTCTCCAATGGGAAGTCCCCGTTTCCCCCCAGATATTCCTCAGGGTTGCCTTAAGTTGCAATGCACGATGTAACCAGAACTATGTACTCCATCACGTCTGTGGGGCAGTGTTCTTTATCTCTTCCAGACCCATCCTCCATCCAGGGAGATATCTGCTGTAAATGGGCCACTGAGTCTTGCTGCAGGACTGATAAAATTACATCATCCCATGGCGAGATGTTCTGCCCAGGGGGAGGAACCATTCCTACCTAGATACAAATCTGAGAATTGGAACACCAGGGGAGCCTTTCCCACTAAATTCCCAAAGGAAGACGAGGCCCATCTACACCACCACTGGCCCTTCAAAGAAAAAACGACACCCTTCTGTAGGATCATTGCTTCAACAGAACCACATCTGTCACTGCAGGACTGCAGCCACCATTTAATCAGATTGCTACCAACACCCTGACCCACCCACAGGGTGTCAGCTCATATTCTATGTTTTTTGTATTATTGCATTTTTTTTTAAATTTTCCTGGTAAATAATTGTTATGCCTATTCCCATATCTTTGCCTAAGAGCTCCTTAATTTCAAAATTATAATGATCCAGAGGGAGGGGGTTTACATTTTCCATTTCAAGAAAGGCTCCTGCCCTCCTTGGCAGACACCTGTCTTTTAAAGGCAAGGGTATAATTTTCTGAGAACACCAGGAACAGTTCATCCTTGTTTGTGTCACTCCTCTGGCAATGCCAGTCCCTGAAAAGGCAGCTTCCCACATTGTAAGTGGCCATTTGTGTCCACTGCCCAGGGGCCTCTCTGCCCTTCATCCTGAACTGGTATTTCCAAAGCTTCTGCTACAGATTCACCACGGGGTTCCCAGCAGCTGACTCTGCAGTGAGACTGTCTTAGAATACACACACGGCGATTTCACAACTGCTGCTTTCAATTTCTGCTTGTGACAAAGTCAATACTAGCTAACAAGCATGTTTAAATTTGCTTCATTTCAGGTTCTAACAACTCCTACCAAGAGAAAGATAAAACGCTCAGCTTATCAGCTCACTGCTCTCCTCTCCCAAAACCAATTCAACAAGTTCATGCATTTTATTCCTAAGAAAGCAAAAATTATTTTCTTCCAATTTTGCAACTGCTTCCACAATACCCAAGCAGAACCCTTAGCTGGAAAAAAAAATCCAGATTTCTATGAAAAGTTGCTTCACACAGGAGGAAGAAAAAAAAAAAGATCAGGAATAGGAAAAGCTGGAAATTTTACTAGTCAGCATTTAAACCTCGACAGTCTGGAACTTTACTGTCAGGTCAGTCAAGTTGAGGGCAAAAGCCCTCCTCACCCCTGCCAACATTTCACATTGTGTATCCTGCAGTTCCCTCCTGCGGAGGCTGATGCAATCCACATAATTTTAGCCTGGTTTTGAGGCCAGTTTTAAGCACACAATAAATGCACACACATCAATTGATGGCAGTCTGGTCCTACAGCAGCAATCGGCACTTCACAGCCATTCCCATTATTTCTCGTGCCAAACGCTCGATAATTCGCAGATTGAATTCGATGGGCAGGCTCCGTACCGCAAGGTCCTCTGAACAAACTCGGGGATTCTGTTAGTGTTTCACTTCACAGATACTGAATTCCTCCTGGCTACTTGTATCTGTCAGCTTCACTGGAGGCTGCTTTGTATCAGTCCAACTTCCAGGGAGACCTCACAAGTGCTGACGTGGATGAAGAGCTCTTTCAGTTCTGCGTCAGAGCTTTGTGGTTAAATTGTATCGGGTTTCTGTAAATTCTGTACACCAAAGTTCCACCCTCGGTTAAAAGGAATCCGGAGCAATATGAGATGCTATACTGTCATTAACAGTTTATTAGAAACTAAGGTGAAAGAAAAGAAGGACTTGGTTCCAACTATCCTTGGAGTTTTCTTTTTTTTTTAAACTGCAATAAAATTTCATATTTTAAAGAATAGCTACAATAAAAATATCTGAAAGTGCTTTGTCACATCATGTGAAACACGTGGCATAACCAAGTATACCAATTTCACCAAAAAGAGTGACACAATCTATTTAAACCTCTCTAAAGTCAACATTAAATCTCATAGCTTATCATGTCTAGTCAAAGCAAGACCACACTGCAAAGCTGATCAAGTGCTAATATGAACACAGGTAACAAAATACAACAATGAAACCCCTATGGAATATTAGATGATAAAACCTGGGGCTCTACTCACAACTGCTGTGAAGATGATTAGCAGTACATCATTAATAGCTTAGCCAGTAGTTCATATATGAACTGTTTTATTTAGAAACAAAACCTGATGCAACTAACAGGGCACCAAAAGGCTGATATCAGCAATGTTCCTTTTGAATCTGGATTTCCATCGGGAGATGAACAAGCAGATTCGTTTTTACAGGGACATGATGTAATATCTGCTTTATCCAGGCCCCTCTTTTACAATACAAGGCCACATTATTTCTTAGAGTTTTTATGCAGTTTCCACTTTGAACTAGACATGACCTGTTCTAGTGTATATATATATGTATTTATATATACTTTGAATATACACTACTCATTCATGTCCCTGTTTTTCATTACCAAGGGCATGGAACATTTAGTAAGGTGCACTGTAAAGTTTAAAACAAACTTCTCAGAGAGAAATTCAGAGGATATGCTTGTTAATACAGGAACTAACATTTCTGGAAACCTGGTAATTTTATACACCAGTAAATGTGTAATTAGTCTAGATGGTGTTTTTAACAAAAGTATTTAAAAATAATTATATTCTTCTTATATAAACACATTTAATATACTAGCTTTAACACAGTGGAGTTGTTTAGATGTCCAGTGATTGTAAAATCTCCACGGGCTCTCTTTTAAAGCCCAGCAGCTGCAAATAGCTTCAAGCAGTGCCAAGTGCAGCTCTGCTTTTGCTCAGAGACTGGGGCCAACTGCAGAGTTAAAAGCTGCACCACTAATGTGCTAAACCAAACTGTTTCAACTGTGGATTCAATTGCACTCTCACTCCATGAGTTAATCAGGAATTAGCAAATCATAATGCTGACTTCACTAAAAAGAGTAGCTAAACCCTCATTCATTGCACAAGAAGTAGGATCCCCTCCCTCCATCATCACATCCACAATGGAGATTGTGGCAGATATTTCATCAATTCATCATCATGGATTAAAACTTGTGACAAAAAAAGTAGTGGCTCACACAGTAAAGCTGGTTGGGGAAACTGAGAATGTAAAGAGAAGCTTTAAACATCTAAAACAATAATTATAATAACCCAGTGACAACTTAGTGAAACAGCTTAAGACCAATCAAATGGGCATTTAAATATTGTAAAGTATTTCTGTATTTGTTATTTATTATTAATAATAATTATAATAACCCAGTGGCAACTTAGTGAAACAAATTAAGACCAATCAAATAGGCATTTAAATTTAAATACCCTAAAGTATTTCTGCATTTGTTACTTTGTAATTTATGTTATGAACCTGATTCCTATGTAGGGTCAGAGACAAATTAAACGTGCCTAAATATATATAAAAAAGTTGATTTTATACGATTTTAAACCCCTCAATGGAATCTGATTAATTTCACAAGTACCATATGGTCGGTACATATTATCAACTGGTCAGGCTATTAGTGAACATCACCAAAGTTTTACTAATGACAGAGACACTGAGATATTCACTAGTTCTGACACCACCTAAATGAAGACACTGTACAATTGAGAGTATGGAGGTTTTTTTCTGGTTTTCCCACAGTTTTTGCTAAAAAACAACCACCCCTCCTTTACACTGGGTTTAAGCAAAGTAATCACAGAAACAACTCTGGCACTCTGCTGAAAAACAAACATAAAGTGACTCCCTAGCTGGTGGCTACCAAGCAGAAAACATTTCTTATCCAAATAAGCACTCAAGACTTGTAATTTGGGTCCTCCCAGAGGAATGAAACCCAGGACGTGAATGTATGAAAAGGCCACGTGCCCTTCCTCCTGCCGGATTTCATCCAGGCGAGTCAGTGGGTTACTGCACACGGAATCCACACGTTACTGATAGCTTGAACTAAATCACAAACTGCTGAAGTACAGACCTCAGAACAATGTTATCAATGCACCAAAAGCCCTCAGCCAAGCCCTCCCCACAGCGCTGTTATACCTTATTGCTCCGCGGAGCACACAGAGCCCTCAGACAACGCAGCCCATTCACCCGAAACTTGTCACTTTGTCTGCGGCTCGCACTGGGGACGTGGCAGACTCGCGTTCTCAGCTCGAACAAAAGGAGCGAGCCGGCTTTCGGGCACTGCCTTCCCTCGCAGCACGGAGGGATGCCGGCACGGCCAGAGCAGCAGGGCGAGCCGCGGCTGCCCGCTCCCAGCCCGCGGTGCCGGCACCTGTTGACAGAAGGGGCCCCGCTCGCCCCCTCCCCTCACACCGACGCTTTCCCAGCCCCAGGAGCGAGCAGCCCCGGCCGGCGAGGCGAAAGGCCCGGCAGGGACAGCGGCGGGCGCTGCCCGGCAGGGGCCGAGGCGGGAGGAGCTCCCGTGGCCGCGGGGCCCTCCCCGGGCCCGACCGCCGCCGCCGCGCCCCGGCCCCGAGCCCCCCGGCAGCCCCAGCCGCCCCCGAGCTCACCGGCACCGCGTTCAGCCCCTGCTGCTCCGAGGCCATCACGAGAATGTTGTGGAAATCCATGGCCAGGCCGGAACACGGGGGGCTGCGGCAGCCGCCCCGCTCGCACTGCCCGCCGCCCCCCGCCCGCTCGGCCCCGCTCGCTTCCGCCCGCTGCCGCCTACCCTTTATATAAGCTCGCCTGGCGCCGGCGTCACTTCCCCTGTGGCGGAGCCTCGCCACGGGAAACGGGGCTGGGCCAGAGGAGGGAACGGCGAGAGGCGTCTCGGGAGCCCCGCGGGACGGCAGGGCCCAGAGCGGCTGCGGGAGCGGCCTTATGAGACCCCCGGGGCGGCCCCGCCCGGCGCCTCTCGCCGCCCCCCGCTCACAGCTGGCCGGGATTGTCCCTCCGCCCGCCTCGGCTGCGGCCCTGAAACGCCTCAGAGTGAGGGGGCACGGAGTGATGGCTCCAAACTGACAGGGAGCAGCCTTAGATTAGATGTCGCGAAGAAATTCTTTACTGTGAGGGTGGTGAGGCACCGGGACCGCTTGCCCAGAGAAGTTGTGGGTTCCCCATCCCGGAAAGTGGTCCAGGAGTGGTTGGATGGGGCTTGACACAACCTGGTGGAGTGAAAGGTGTCCCTGCCCACAACAGGGGTCAGAACTAGATGATCTCTAAGGTCCCTTCCAACCCCATGCATTCTATGGTTCTGTGATTACCATCCCCAACCTCGGCATGGGAATGTGTCAATAAAATATCAAAAACTTGTACTTTCTTCTTTTTTCCCATAGCAACTCTTCATTTTTCAGTGACAGTGAGAATTGTGGTGGTTTGAAAGGAAAAAGCCTTCGGGGGCAATGGCCAGTAGCACCAAGCACACCCTGACACCTGCCCCTGTCCTTCCTGCATTCCCAGCTGCCAGCTCGTCCCTGAGAGGACATCAGCTAGGCAGAAACTCTGTAAAAAAGGAGGAATATGGATTAAGTTTCCTTAAAAATCTTTCTTGGCTTGTCGAGGCTTCAGAGTTGGTGCTTGTCTTGTAGGGGTGTCACAGTTGCTTCAGCAGTGCCCTCCCAGCTGCAGGAATACTGCTGGATAAACAGGGCTCCCAGGAGCAATGCTGACCAGCAGAGTGGCCAAACAAAATGCTCTGTGTGTGTGTATGTTTAAATATTTTTCTAAGTCTGACGAACCAGAAAATTGTGCAAGAACACCAGCTGACTGAAGACTTCCCTTGCATTAGTTACCAGATCATTTCCTGGATGTTATCTGAGATCCATCTGACAAAAATTCCTCTACTCCACACTGCTTCTCCTAGAAATGTGGGCATTGAAAGAAAGCTTTTTTCCATCATTTAAACCTTTAGTATAAATTCTTTAACACTGCTAGTACTTGACAACTCTTCAGTCTCAGTTCCTCCAGTTCCTTCCTGCCTTTTCCAGTTTCCCTTTACCTCTCCAGTGCCCTCACTTTTTTGTTGTATCTGATATTATCTTCTGAGCATGTCTGTAAGTCACCTTGCAACCTGGTGTAAAGACGCCCAGTGAGGCCTTAGCTGATGGGAGGGACAGGACAATTTGTCTGAGCCAGGCACTGCACCAGTTAATTTGCAGGGCCTTAGTACTTCTTGAGCACAGGAGATCCAAGTTGTTCCTTTAATGCTTGCTGTGGTGTCTCTGCATGGCATCAGTCCATGCAGGGTGGACAGTCCTCCTGACCTACCACTGCTTTTTCTTGGGACAGTTCTGATTTAACTCCTTATCCTGTAAGAACTTAATCCCTCTCTCTTTTCCCCTTTTTATTCTCATCTCCATTTACTGACTTTTTACTTCTGACTCAGACCTTGTCACCTCTTCTGGTTCCCACCCTCTTTGTATTATGATTTTCTTATTTTAAGACTTCCTAGTGTGGCTCTCTTCACAGGCAGTTAGTGGTTCATCAGTTTTCATCCCATTTTTGGCATTATGTTTCCTCCTGTGCTACTGTCTATAAGGTTGTGATGCTATTTTCTGGCAGTCTTATCTGCTACCTCATCACTGCTCTGGTGCTTTCATCAGAATTTCCCTGCTCCAGCTTGAATTTCTGGTATCTCCACTGTGCCCTCCCTTGAGAGGCTTTTAGTATGACTCAGGTTCCTGTATGACAGCAGTACTGACAGAGCAATGATTGCTCTTTGACTTTTGTGCGTGCTCTCTTTGGTCCATGTTAGAGTTGGCAGGAACACTTGGCTAAATGCAGACTTCATTCTGCTGACTGTGATCCTCGAGATGAGTGGAGGAAAATCTCTCCCTGCATCTACAAGAGGAGTTACAGGCAGGCCAGGGAATGGCACTGCAGCTGCAGTGTGTGGCATGTCACTCTTTGGAAACCCCTAACCACAAAAGCCGCTGCCTTTTCCTGGAAATGACAATCCTGTGACATCACATCCCTCAGCAGAGGGGATTTACCTCCGTGTTTCTCCAGTGGGAGAAACAACAGCACTGTGTAAAAGTGTGCTGTGGGCATTTTATGGGGCAGTAGCAAGCCATGCTGAGCTGTGCTGGGGTTCCCAGACTGCCCCCATGGCATTTAAACCCAGCTCTAGCACAAGTAACACGTCAGCACAGTGCCTTGATGTGGCCCAGCCTCTTCTGGCAGACATCCTGCAAAAAATGGGAACCTCCATGCTGTGTGTCCTCCCTGTGCCTTCACTCGCTTCCCAAATTATCTTCACTCCTCACAACCTCTACACACATTTACAATATGATGAACTGATCCAGACTGGGCTTGCCAGGATTCCCAAGCCCAGCTAGTTCGTTAGCAGCAAGGGAAGAAACAACTATGGCCTTTAAGCCAAACCGATGTTTCTATAAAATACAAATCAGGATAGAGAATGCTTCTTCCCCTTTTTGTAACTCTCTGATCTGTCTGATCCTGTGCATGTTTGACATCACCCTAGCTTTCAAAGAATTGCAAAAGTCTGAGAATTGAAACCTACATCTTCCAGAAAACCAATACAACGCCTCTCAGATCTCCCATTTCTCCTCTCAAACCTCTGATTTGTGCTGCTGAAAAAGTTCACACAGATTTGTTCTTTTTGTGTGTACATTTTTAAAGCAAAAACTTGGATAAGTTTTATTTTTCTTAAATACCTTCAGTTTTGGATATTACTTGTGACTAGAACTATTTGGAAAAGATTTAGACTATACAAGACAATATTCCACAAGAAAGTGTCTGCAAGTTTTTAATCAGCTGTGCTCAACAATAGCTCAGCCCCAGCCATGCACACTTCAGGTATGTGACTAATCCTATTAACTTGAAGTGTATTAAAATGTTTAAAGGATTAGAATCTTAATTACAGGCCATCTACAGAGGTCAAATATCAAAGGCTGTTCAGAGCCTGAGTTTTAGCATTTTCTGAATGAGTGAATGAGTAATATTTGTGTGAGGTCTCCTTTTCCCTTTTCACGCAGCATCCTTTCTGCTGTAGAGTTAAATGGGTGTTCCAATATGGCATTTATTAACTAGGCTGAGTCATTCTGATGTCCAGCAGTCAGGTCTCCAGGTTATCAGTTTGTTAGAGGCTGCAGGGCTGCCATATATGATCTAAAGAAGTTTAGGACTTGGAAAACATGGATTTGAACAAATCAAGTTTGCATAGGATAGTGCCAGCCTACTTTATGGCTGCTTCCAATTAGAATTAATTATTAATCACTAAGACTTTTTTACTTATGATATATTAAACAGAAATGGAAAGGAAGAGTCTTGGGATGATAATTAGCTGGTCTTGACAGTGTATAACTTAGACATCTAACTTAGATGCATAAATTATGGTATTTGGCTCCAAACAGGAATATCAGAAAAACAGGGACAGAAATTGCCTTCTTCCTCCCACCCAAAAAGCAGGATCAATTGCATTAGGTAATTTCTGACAGACACTTGTTCAATTTGCATTTGAAACCCAGAAACCAAGGCTGGCATTGTCTATATTATTCTCTCATTCTTTTTTTCATCTACACCTTGAGAAAGCTGTTTCTTACATCTAACCCAGATCTCTGCTGCCCACTGAGCCTTTTCAGCTGATGAGAAGACTTTATTGTCCTCTCCCTTAGACATAAGCACACATATTTAGGGCCCTCCTACTGTGTCTCCCCTTTATCTGGGATAAACCACTCCAACTTCTCCAATGCTTCACCATAAAACATCTAACTCTCTCTCCCAAGCAGAATACAATACTCTGACTGAAGGTTTTCTAGCCCCAAGCATGGCAGTAGAATGGCTTAATTTGCCTGGCAAACAATATTCCTTTTTATGCAGCTCCCAGTGCTATTTGCCCTTTTTGTGGTGGCATGGCTGGTTCCTGTTGGGTTTGGATCCCTGCTAACCACCACGACAGGTTATACAGGGGTGCTATCAGAGCAGTAAGTGCACAACCTGCATTTCTGATGTTGGTAGTTCTGCAGAGAGTGAAAGCACATCCTTTGAATTACTTCCTTTCCCCCTGCTGTAATTGGCCAAGTGTGTTGAGATCCTAGCCCTGTCTTCCAACACTTCCTGCCCCTCCCAGCCAGTGGGGCTGGCAAGAACATTGTTTGCTCTGCCATCTAAATTATTTAATAAAAACATCAGATTTGTGGTACTCCTGCAGAATTCTGCTTGCTGTGTCCAGCCAAGTTAGCAACATGATAATTTTAAATATTTCAGTCCAGTTTACAGCCAGTTCTGTACTCATCCATTTGTGCTTTTCTGGACTTGCTTGTGAGATGGATGGCCATGTGAGAGAGTGTTAGGAGTCCTTCTAAAACCAAGAGCTGGAAATGAGCCTGCTTGACATGATTTATTCTAGGCAAAGTAAACCCAGAAATTTCTTTTCTAGGTACTTAAATGTGTCAGTGGAGACAGAGGTTTAACTCCAGCACCTCAATATTTAACGACTCAGCAGGTCACAAAACAGGTACAGCTTCTCAACACAGAAATGCAAGCAAGAGAGAACTTGAATTCCTCTGCATGTAATTGAAAATTGTTTTCATCTAAAATATATGTATTTCAAATCCAGAACAATCACAAAATATCACTTTTACATTGCTATGCATTGGGAACAGAAACAAACTGTCAACAAACTTCCCTAGTAATTAAAAGTGATTTCAAGTAGCTGTCTTGGGTTCTCCTGGG